TCACATAACTGATACATCTCCCTTCTTCCCAAGCTCCAAAAACATAGAACATTTAGGGCACTGAAAGAAAAACAAACCCAAACAAAAAACAAATCACCAATTTTTATTATTTGTTACAAAACTCAATATAAACAAACCAAAGATGGCATTAATATAGGCTTATTTTCCCCTACTGATCATCTTACTGAATAGTGCTAATGTGATGGCTATTCTAGGATTTCAGTACAAGTGTTATCAACTTCATAGATGATATGAAGATGGTATTAAAGTAACAGTACATCTGTTGACAGCTTCTAACACATTGAAGCTAGGTGCTTAACAACATGCTTACAGAAGTTTTATTAGCTAGACAACTCCCAAGTAGTCACTGTCAAAGCTAAATAAAATATACTACCCCTGGAAAATTTAGGGGATTAAGTATACTTTTACAAATGTTTATAAAGATAAACCAGCAACAGCAAGCCCAGCTTCACTGTTGTTATTCTATTACATTGAGTGCCTTTCTACTAATTCTGAAGATAACAATTACACAATTTGACACAGTTTTCAACTAGATGCCTCTGAAAGGTTTTGGTTTGGTTTTTTTTTTTTTTAAATTTCTTTACTCCAAGCAGGCAGAATACTTACATTAATATCCTCATGAATTCCCAAAGGTTTCTTTTCCCGGTTATCACAAAGCAAATCTGTAATGGTTTTGTGAGAAGTAACAGTAGAATTTTGCTTCAGCTGTAAGTAATTGAACAATTACTTGTACTGAGTTAGGCTAAAGCTGTTATTAGTACAACGATCCAAATTTTAAGAAAAGTAAAAATATTTACTACTGGGAAAAAGGGGGAATTGATCTGAGGAAACACTAACCCAATAGCCCCCTGTTTTGCCAATTGACGGGGTTAACACAAAGGACACAGACACCAAGCTAAAGAAATGGGCTTATTTTACTTTAGTTTAAAGCAGCAGAAAGAATAAGCAAGGTAACGCACCTAGTCATTGCTACATAAAGCTGGCTATAGTGATTAAGAAAGATCCATCACCAATTGCCCTCCTACTTTACCATCACCCTGACCCGTGCATCAGCTGGGGAGCCCCGTCCCAGCGAAGGGTCGGAGAGCCTTTCCCGGCAGCTGGGAAGTCCCACGCAGGGCGTCCGCTCGTAGGTGGGGTCTGCGTCTGTGCTGTGAGGGGCCCGGCTTTTATACAGTTTAACAAACAAGTCTAAACAAAATGCAGGGGAGATAGGTGGTAGATTGATGTGCCTCACTCAGGTGTGTCCGGATCTGGCCAGGATCTGGGCATGTCTGAAGAGTTTCTGTTTTTCTTTACATTTGGGATTTATAGTTACTTCCTGTTGTGTACTTACAGTTCCCAGGGATTGTTCCCAGGGTTACATTTCATGCTGATAAGATGCTGGTTGCTGGTCGTGGAATTCACTCAGAAGTCAACTTTGGTTTGAGGCCTATTGTTTGGGCCTTTTTTATTTCAGTCAACTCAGTATCTTCAGCTCCGGAATCAGGGCCAGCACTTTGAGACGTAGTTGCATTAACAGAACTTGCCTATAGTAAGTATAAAGACAAAGTTTTATCAAACTTTATGAACAGGTTTAAAAAAAAAAGACAAACCACAAGAGAGAAGAAAACAAGGAGACAGCTCTGCAGCCAACAAAGTTCAGTATGTTCCACACTGTCTTAACAGACAGGAATTTAGTCACCAAATGCGCATGCCAGTTAAAAATCATCACTTTCCATTATACAGATAAAGTTCCAAGAGAAAGACATAGAGGGTTACTGAGTCCTGGCTCACTTTCCTATGGGAGTGATCTTCTACAGGAACTCAAACAGTCAAGCTGCAGCTGCTTGCCTTACTACTGAAACAGGGTAAAACAGGGAAATGAAACTAAGTCTTGGAAACAATGTGCAAGTTAAAGCTTCCCTACGTTGGTTTTCTTCCCACCCCCCCAGAAAAAACACCATGGTGCAGCTGCGGCACATTTTGCTTGCGCGTGCGATTTTCATTTTATTTTTTAATAATTAGTTAGCACATGATTAGAAGACAGAAGTTTTTGATTACATTACTCGGAATGATCACTTTTAGCATAATTCCTCTTTCCTACTAAAGCTCTCAACACTTTATGCTACAAACTAGAACTCGAGGCATACTTACCCCTCTCTTTTGGACGGTGAAACTTTTACCAACGTTGGTATGTGCCAGTTCACGGTCCATCTCACTCATGTATGACTTGAGACTGCCTATAAGCTCATTAGGCGGCACCTTCTGGTCTTGCCTTTGATCTTCCACATCTAAGTCTTCATCATCCTTGTTCGAGAAATCAAACTCCTCCTCTTCATCCAGACCATCAGAATCCAGCTCTTCTGAGTCTGCCCCTACATATATATTATTTTGTGTCAGTACAGATAGCAAACAAATCAGCACAGCGACCATGGGTGACGGATGGATGACCCAGGAAAGCCAAATAACCATGAGATATTCTGACAAAAGAAACAAAGAAGCAATCTCACCTAAAATTCTGACTAACGCTTTTGTAAAAGAATCTACATCAAAGGTAACATGGGATTCATCAGGTGACCTGATATCTAAAAAAATTTTTAAATAAATAAAGCTTTTAGGCTTGCATAAGCTGACACAGACATAAGCCATACGGCATACAGATTTCTCTCGAGCCTAGACTGAAGGTGGAACATTTGAACTGATGGTCTTGGAAGTGCTTAGAAGTCTGAGGCCTGTATGAACTAGGAACGAAACAGCAACGGGAGGAGTTCCTGGCACGAAAGAGAAAATAAACCCAACAACTTTAACCGTTTGTTGTGGTCAAATAAAAATTGCACCGAAGGGAACCAAAATAAACATGCCCGAATCTTTCTGGAACAAAGTGGTGGTGCTACACCTCAGACAAAGATTTAAAAAGCTGAGAATCTTGGAGGTCTCCTGCCTAGAAAGAACACCGCAGGCTTCATTCTAGTCTCTTTTAAGGCTCAGTGGTTTGCCCCCCCTTTTTTTTTTTTTTTTTTTTTTTTTGTTCCTTTATTTTTTAAATAACTGAAAAAAGTCCACATTATAACTCAGACATTGACACTAACAGTAATTAAAAAGGATCAAACAATTAAGAGTATAAATTGAGTAGACCCTTATACGCTTGATACAGTTTACACAGCATTATTTTCTCAATATTAAAGCTACTAAAAAGAACTTGGACAATATGCTCCTACCTCACCCTTTGTTTTTTAAAATTAAAGGCCTGTCCACACCAGTCACACACACTTTCTTAACTCCAGCACTTAATCTAGTGGCATTCTGCTCTTGCCTAACTAGTTAGGTATCTTCAGTTAGCACTCCCACTGTTGGGAAATGACAGGGATCCACCGTGATTTGATTCTTTTCTCCTGCTTCTAGGTGTACAGTATGTGCATTACAGAATCAACCAAAGGGCTACAGCAGAAAGAAAACACATTCTACACCACGCACCAAACTTAAAAATACTACTGCCGTGGCATTTCTGCTCCTTCATGTGGTGAGACTTTGGATACAAAAGCCTTCATACTTTCAGCAACTGCTTCCAAGTCGTATTTCTGCTCTTCCTCATTGGAGGAAGGAAGGGACTCATTTCTTGCCTCCTTCAGCATCTGATCTAGATCACCTGCTGTAATCTCCAGCCAACTGTCATCTGAAAGAATGCAGGGCATATTTGTTATTCGGCACAAATCTGTCAGCCCACAATGGCCACAAAACCCAATCCAGATGGCTGAGAGTACTGCTAGCATTTTGTAGCTTATTTTTGCACTGTCAAGTTTTCGTGCTGATACAAAATAACACGGGGTATAAGGCAGAGAGAGGCTGAGAAGAGTGTTCGGATTTTATTTTACTACTTTAAAACTCTGCTCTACATGCAGCTTCAAACTAGCAGAAATTGTTGTAGCCACAGGTAATCCTTCTGCCACTAAATGAAAGAAGAAAAGGCTTACACTATAAAGGGAGACCTTCCACTACAATCATTAATGCTGAATGCTGGATTTGCATGCTAAGGCATCATTCAGAAATCCAGATGTGACCTGTGCTGCACGCTGGCAACAACTGCGTTCCTGTGACATGAGTGAAAAGAACCTATTATGTAAAGTTTATGCTGGTCTTGTATTGGCCATCAGAGTAGACCAGATAGTAATTAACTTTGTATTGTCAGCATTGGAATTGATTTATTATTATTCTTAAATGTTTAAATACCTCCTGTCTGGTATCCAGTTGACACAAAGGACTTGATCTGGTGTAAGTGTGCACGGTGTTATCAATCTAGTGGTATCAAACCAGAAACTGGACTGCGTATTTCGCCAGTTCACAGCCCCGAGCTTATACAAACGAACTGGTTGCCTTAATCTTAAATGATGGCCCATGAATAACACCTCCAGCAGTCACATGGTAGGAGACTAAATCGACAAAGAGACTGGTACAGTGCTGTGAACATTCACCCTCTTCCCCAACAAATACTCATTTGTGATAGGAACAGTCCACCCCCCATCCGGCTCACCATCCTCTGGAAAAAGACAAGCTGCTTCTCTCTCAAATTCCTTCAAATCAACAGTTGTTGTCTGTAGCAGTGTCAAGATTTCATCACCTGGGCTCACTTCAAAAGAGCTAGACGAAAAAAATTCCATTTACTGAAATGGATTTTTACTAGCATTACGATACCAGTGGCATCACACACACTACACGCAAGTTTTCACTCCAATTCCTCAAGATTCCTTCTGTGCAAAGACATCAAAAAGGTAAGTGAATCTGGGGAAAGTACCAGAATACTACACCAATAGTATTAGCCAAAACAGGACACGGTCAGTTACTGTTACTCCTTGTTGATGACTCCAAAGCAAATTTCTCATGCTTCTTTTGTTATTTATATTTATTTTGCCTTGGTAAACATTAGGACTGCCAGATCCCAAACAGCACAAGACTGGAAATTCAAGCAACTAACAGTCAAGATATTATGAGTTGGCAAACCCTCAGATATTTTTGTAATGATTTATTTTTTGGATTTGATCTTTTAGAGAAATTTACAGCCAGCTGCCTCTCGTAAGTAAAGGAGACAGATTACTCCATATTTCTTATTCACTAAGATTGATTTTCAATTAAGCTTTTAAACACTTTCTACAACCAACCAGCCAAATGATGCTTTTCAGTCACCTCTTAACCCACTTGGAATAGCTTAGCATTTTACAAAACCAAGATAAATAGTTACTCAAGCAGTAACTTCTACTAGCAGAGTATTCTAGAGGAATTAATACCCCTATGTCTTAGCCACAGCACCTATGTTAAGTGTACAGTGGAGAAAAGGGTTCGGGTTCTTTGTAACAAGTATTAAAAAAGGTAAATTAAAGTACTTGTAGGTACTGCGTATGGATGGTTACTCATGAATTTCAAGTAGCTCTTACCTTTCGGGCTTGGTAACAGACTGTTGGAAGTAATCTTCTGCCCTGTGCAGCACTTCCAAGTATTTAGCAGATCCTTCATTTCTCCCTCCCCTTCCTTTCTCTAAAGAATTCTCCCTCCCCTTCCTTTCCACAGACATGCTTCGTAACAATGACTATTTGTCAGACAGAAATTTAGTTCTGAGAAAAATCCCAACAAGTAATACTGCTGTGCCACGTATGCTTGGAACAGAATATAGGAAAGGGGCATAAGGTGTTTTCACTGTCAAATATGAATTGAAGTCTTGTGTTACAATATCATATGGTGTACACTAAAAACAATCAAAGAAAATACTGATCTTACAACACGTGTATTTACCATGCCCAAGTTACAATTGTGCAAGGATTGTGAATGAATCTCTTGGTTTTGGGGAACTATCCATACAAGTGGCATTGCAGTACTGTAAGCATATTCCTTCTCTTATATTTACAAGATATTAACCTAAGCATTCCGAGTTGTCTGATTCTATAACCTTCAAATAAGTAGTCAATTTATGACCAATTTGTAAACTTCAAATAAGCAATCAAAGGCATCTTTTAAAAAAAAAAACAAAACAAAAAGCCCCACACAAACAAAAAATACACTTACATGGCCCCAAATGTATCGATGGGTGTTAAGTATAGATCTTAAAGAATATCTAATTCTAAATGCATGCAAATGAAATGTAAAACAGTTAAAACAGTTATACTGACACACAGCCACACTGTGGTTTCCTTTATTCAGTGTATTTCCACTTTCTTTAGATGAATAATTCATCTGCAAATCCTGCCTTTTCCTTTTTAATTTCCAAAAGAAATGAACTCATTTCAAAGGGGAACAAACTGCACAGATCTCCTGTAGAGACATCCATAATTTCCCACAGACAGAAGCACCAGATTTCTTGCCCTGCTGTAACTACTTAGACAAGTTCAAGAGCTACAACATGTTTTTCCTGGCATGTTTAAAAGACAAACACACACACACAACTACACCTGAAATAATTCTTTTCTTCAGGTTGCTGAGGAATCTCACCCACAGGGGACCTTTAACACATTGCTCTTGGAATCAGGAGATACTTTACTGCACTTGGAGCACAAAATTTCAAAGCCATGGGCCTGTATAAGAGATGCAACAACATGAGACTCTCCAGATGTGCCACATTTAAGTGCACCTTTAAATGACCGCGTAAAGAACTGACTGCCATCGAGCTCCTGATACTGCCACTTGAGAGAAGCAGGTGCCAAACCCGATTATATGTCAGGGAGCAGTATCTTGCTTTGGAAGTGAAATCTGTCTTTCTGCAGCAATAATGGTTCATTTTGACTTCGCAAAGTTTCTCTACATGGGAAAAGCAACCTGGAAGACAGATCTGTAGTGCACAAGCTACTCCTCATACAAGCATGAAGGCTTGACCTGTACTTGTAATCTATATAAGTACAAGAGTGCTCTAGCCTGTAAAAGAAAGCCCCCACAATAATGTACTTCCAGAAAAATGGTAACTGAATTTGCTCGCATTATTCTGTACAAGCAGGCAACTTACAAGCAGAGTAACTTCTTGGACATAGGTAAACAAGCAAACTAAAGACTAAGTACAAAATGCATAAAAAGTAATTACCAGCTTCATGCCCAGTTCATAGGCTTTGTATTGAGGGTGAGATGGGAGGGGCAGCGTGTATCCACTTTGACTCCCAAACTTATTTTCAGGAGCTAGCGGTATAACTCTGTTATGCAAACATATCCAACACAACACTGCTTGGACAAGGAACATAAACCACTTCCTAAAGTAGCTTTCACAGAGCTGCGTAAGCACCGCTGAGAAGGGGAAAAGCCTTGGAATGAACACCTAGGGGTAGTTAGGAGCAACTCCTGGTGTTGGCTGGCAGTGCTGTCAGACTGCTCTGATCACAGAACTAGATGAATTTCCTTAGCGAGCATTCCAGCAGAGGAGCTACTAACAGTAACCTCCGACTTCAGAGGCACTTCTGATTAGCCATTTGAAAGCCTAGCTATGTCAATCTGAAGGCAGAAAAGCTATTTAACATAAAGAACTGGAAATGCATGTCTAGTGTCAAAAATAAAAAATAAGTCAGAAAACATTCTATTTTAACAATTAAATCCACATAGTTGTATCACCTGACCACAGAACCTTTGTCACTTACAGAACCTAATTCAGTGACAAGTTTCATCAGAAGGATCACTACTATGGTCACCACACGCTCGTCTGGAGGGAAAGTCTGAAAGAGCCCCACGCTCGTAAATCCACAGGCTCTCGCAGGTGAAAGGCCTGGACTGCTGCAGCCACCAACGAAGGGCGCTGCCTCAGCACTGCCACAATGCCTGCTGGAAGGTAGCAGTGGGCTCGGTGAAATGAGGTCTGAATTTTCTCAGGATACCTGTATTGTACAATAACAACATAGCGTAGTAAGTGCATCGCAAGCTGAAACCACTCTTTAAGCTAATATTCCCATTTTCACTTTAATACTAATCTGTATTATGGGCCAAATGCCAGTGATTATTCTAAACTAAAGTTAAAACTCCACTAATCTAACACGTGGCATGTCTGTTTATACAGAACTACACATGGCTAATAAAAATTTAATCCCCACATTGGTAAAATGAATCACTGTGAACTTGACTAACATGTCCTACTCCACAGCATCCTTCACTGCACCGTGTAGAAGTCATCTGGCTCGTGCTGTCAAATCCTTGCAAAAAATAACTTATGGTGCTGAATAGACCTGTGAGAAGCTATCGCTCTGAAAATCGTGATGGTTCTACACTTTAGTTTGCAGTCCTTTTTCTCCCTCCTCAAAGGGCTCCTAAAGGCCCACAGAACTTCCAGATTTTTCAGTACAAGAAGGAAGTGAAGGCAGAAAGCTTGTCCTTGTCAGGTGTGGCATCACAGCAGTGAACCAGTTCCAGAGCCCCCAGATCACAGCACAGCCTACAGGGCACTGGTCCCCCTCTTCAGAAGAAGACCACAGAAAAACACTAGTTTCTGAAAAGGAAGCCACTTTATCACACCTAACAGGAAAATGACTGAATACAAGAAAGCACCTCAGACAGCCCAGAATCAAAACTCACCGTTGCAGAAGACCAAAGTGAAACACCCACATACCCACTGATGCGCTTCTACACTGCTGTTGGGATGGGCTCTGCAGCCAGGAACTCCTCTGAACAGGTGGACAACAGCGTCACCGCCTGCGAGACTGTCAGAGTGGTGGCAGATAGGTCACGTTCCTGCTCCTGGGTCTCTGACAGCGGGATGAGGTGCAGCTCTCCTTTGTAAAAGAACACCTGGCAGGTAGCAACACTCTCATCAGACAGGATCAAACAGTCACACACTAGGCAGCCGAAAATTTAATTTAATATACAAATGCACATGTTTAAACAGAGAGAATACCGAAGTACAAATAATACAGAAAACAGCACATTTTTTTTTTAAATGCGAGTTGAGGTAAATACAGATGCCACAGACCATGATCCAACCAGTAAATAAAAAAAAAAAACTATTTTAACTGCAACACGTTTGGTCCAATGTATTTGGTTTCGTTAATAACAGCAATAGCAAACATTTCTCTTCAACTAGAGATTTGCTTCAGGAGAATCAGCATAATTTAACTGCTGAAGAACAGGACAGGAACTGAAAAGCATTGTTTCAGGTGCTACACGTGACCTCTGTCGGTTCCCCATCCTAAGAACTGATTGCAACATTATCAACTTCCTCACTCCTTCTTCTGTTCCCTCAACTGGAAGGAAAATATGGCCCTGAGAGTCAAGACACAGGTTTGCAATTAATTCCTGTGTTGTGTTCCACCCCTTTTCTTTTAAGAGTTTGTGGGAAAAAAAAAAAAGAAAAAAAATTAAACAAATCTGTGGTAATGAAAAAGTAAGTTCCTTTCATTTAAATCCATTGCCAAGAAACTCTGGGACTAGCAATCACCCACAGCAAGCTGATGTGGCTGCAGAATGAAAGTCTACTGCAGACAAGACTAGTTGCACGCGTGTACACCAGTGTTACAGTCAACCAATGAACCTTACTTATTTCAACTTTACCAGCAGAGATTTAGGTTTTTTACCTCATGGCACACACAAGCTCTAGTCTAGTCAGGTGAAAGGGAGCTTGTTCAGAGACTACAGGAGAGAAGAAGTTAACTTTTGTGCCCCGGAACAGCTTTTTTTTTAAGCACTCCCTGTTAACTTTGTTTTGATGCCAAGTATCACCTCCACCTGGAAAGGGCGGCACAGAGAGCAGGGGGTTAGGTGCACGTTCTGAAAACTAGCTCCGTCAAGACAAATGACGCTGGATTCATTTCATCGCAGTGGTTTGGTGCTGCGATTGAGAGACGGAGACCCAGCTCGATGCAAGGCAGGATCCACTTTATTGAACACAACAACCGCTTTTATATTCCAAACAGACAAAGAGAGACGTGTGTTTTAAGCTGATTGGCACAATGGTTAATCACCTAATACATATTGCAAAAATTGAGCTCATAATTGGCTAATGTCTAAGGTCAGCTTGACTTTTTCTGCAGTTAATTTTCTGCTAGCTCACAGCATTCTTCCTCTTGTTTAACTTCTACTCCTACATCTTGTTTCTATAGCACAAGCTTATCTTTAGTTACGAAACCAGCCCTCCAGGAATAAATCGTCCTTGGCTTCAGGGTTGTGACAGTCTGTTTACAGATTGTGCAAGTTACGAGACGCCAAGTTGAGCACGTCCTTCCTAATCAGCTCTGTCTCGCTGCTAGAAGGAGAGACCAGGCTGCCCCGACATCTCCCCCTTCTTGTTGCACAACAAGGATCCTTTTCACTGAGCTGGCTATCAGGTTCTGCACACACTGCAAAAAACAGGGTAAACAAAGTAACAAAAGAATGAAAACGACTAAAGCATACACAATCATTTTTACAAGGCTTCTCAACCATCCTGATAGGCCCCAGCCTCCAAACAGTTTATCCAGCCAATCCCAACTATCTTCTTGGTGAAGTTTGGAAACCCCCTCTTTGAGTTGCTGTATACTAGCGTGAATTGACTCAGAATGATCTGAAAGATTCATACAACACATACCGTCAAAATCCTCACAACCATGACCTTGAGCTAAAAGCAAAAAATCTATAGCGGCCCTATTTTGTAATGTAGCATGGCGAACGCTATCCACATCTAATAAGAGACCAGACAGTGCCTGACTTGTAGCGTTAGTTTGTTTTGCAAGCCAGCAGCCTAGTTTGTCTAGAGTTGCTAAAGCTCTGCCAGCAGCAGCTCCGGGCAGGAACAATGAGGCTGCAAAACGCTGACTGAAAGACCAAAAATCCACTTTATCATCGCAGTCGGAGGTATAGGCATGAACACTACGTCTTATTCTATGAGTGAGACGGTGTTGTAAGATTGAGGAGGTGTTAGGAGTGAGTACCGAGAGGCGCCCAAGACTACAGGGGCCTCCCCTTATGTGAGAAGGAATAATAGGCCAAGCTCTGTCCCCACAAATAAAAAATATTCCTGGGGGTAACAAAAGGGGGGCATTAGTAGATCGAGACAAATTTGATGCCGTATAGTTGCACCAGCTACTAGCATTTCGAAAAACGGGATGAATAGGAGAGACATCCCATGCTTTGGACTGGTTTTTTCCTGTATAATTGAATTTCACACAAAAGTCCATCTTTATAGACCCTAAAAGTTTGATTTCTTGGGGTTCCAAAGCAGCAAGCGGAAGATAGGGAGTCCACATGTCCCAGCATTCTGTTACATTCTTAGAGGCATTCCCGGGTAGAAATTGTGCCTGGAGGCTCTCAGGTATTGGCCAACGCTCCAGGGGCAATCCCACAAGGCATGTGGAAAAGGGGTTGCTAGGGGAGGCTGTGGCCAGACACAAAGTATCCTGTCCGGTAAGATTCGCCAGCGTTATCCACACATTAACCTTAGGTAATGCCGGTGGGAAAGGGTTGCCAAATATGTTTCCAGCCATCATTACAATTAGGCTCATGATCCAAAGAGCCATGATCCTCGAACCCCTTTTTACTCTTTCCCAATCTTTATCAAGGACTGGCCAGATAGCAGGCACCAAATTAGTTCTGCTGCACTCCAAGTCACAGAGCAGAATACTCTTTGCTAGTTCGGTCACTATCTAATGGCTCATTCATTACAGCTATCACATGAACCACAGGTAATTTCTGCAATGGACAGTTCTCAATACTTATTCATGTAATTCCTTCTTCAGTTGTGATGTTTCCGGGCAGTTCTTCTGTCTGCTGTCCAAAATTCTGATTGGAGCACTCCGGTCCCTCTCCAGTTGGTTGTGGCAGGGGTTCACGAAAAGGTCGTACGCTCTTCGCGGGAATCCATCTAGGCCCTTTCTCTGTAGAAACACAAGCATAACCTCTACCCCATGTAATAAGGGGATAAGGTCCCATGACTGTACCTGTTTCTGGATCTCGGATCAGCACGGGCGGCTTGATTTGCAGTTCGAGCGAAGCATTCGTATTAAAATGACGGACTATGGGAGGATTACTGTCTATCAAAGAACAATTCAGAAAATTAAAAACATATAAAGCTTTCTGAAGACGTTCCTCGGGGGTAACGGTCCCTACTCCCCCTTTTTGTTGTTGCAATAAGCGTTTTAGAGACTGATGAGAGCGTTCAATTAAGGATTGGCCCGTGGGGGAATGAGGGATACCCGTAATGTGGTTGATCCCCCAAGAACTCAAAAACTTTTTAATTGCAGTTGAAATATATGCAGGGCCATTGTCAGTTTTAATTTGAGAGGGTATGCCTAAAGTGGCAAAAGCACGCAGCAGATGTCGTTGAACATCGCGCGCCTTTTCGCCAGTATGACAAGAGGCAAATAATGCCCCAGAAAAGGTATCAATAGAGGAGTGAATATATTTTAAGTGACCAAACTCCGAAAAATGAGTGACGTCGGTTTGCCAAAGTTGCAAACTTTGCAATCCTCTAGGATTAACTCCTCCTGCTATTGTAGGAAATGAGTGCCTTTGACAGTCGGGACACACAGCAACTATACTGGTTGCCTGCTGAGTAGTAAGGCCAAATTGTCGCTTAAGCCCACCAGCATTTTGGTGAAAGAAAGCGTGGCTGAGTTTTGCTTGTGCTATGCGGTCTGGCAGTACCTGTACCGGTAATGTAAGCAGGTCAGCTTGCCGGTTCCCTTCTGCTATAAAGCCAGGCAAGGAAGTGTGAGATCTGACATGCATAATGAAATAGGAATGAATGCGAGAATCTAAAAGAAAAATAAGCTCCTGTAACAAAGCAAATAATGCAAAATGTGAGACATTTCGTAACACAGACGCCTCAGCTCGTTCAACAATCCCTGCAACATAAGCTGAATCAGTGATGATATTAAGCGGTGTAGACCATTTTCTAAAGGCTCGGACGACGGCAGTCAGTTCCACGATTTGGGGGGAACCCGGCACTGTCTTTATATCCGATTCCCATTGTTTGCGCTGGTCGTCCCACCAGAGGATAACAGATTTATGGGACTTCCCAGATCCATCGTTACTGTGTGGCTGGTTGCCAGGTCCAGCCCGGCGCTCCCGGCTGTGGCTGGGTGAAGGCTTGAGGCACTGTCGTATCCCTCTGCGGCAGCGGAGGGGTTAACTGCGGAACTTGTGTCTGCACGCGCCGCCGTCCCGCGCTCCGCGATCGGTTTCCCTGTATCGGTTGCCCCTGGGAGTCATACTTAGAGCGACATTGGTTAGCATAATGGCGCCCCTCCTGCACCTAGGGCAAATCCCCGGTGCCTGGGGCTTGGCTCCAGATGTAGCAGCCATACAATTCTTTTTCAAATGGCGAGGTTGCCACAGCCATAACAAACCCCGGGGCCAGCTGTGCCACGCATGGCAGCAAAAGCAGCGGCCATCGCTTCAAATTTATGATCTACGGTGCCAATTCTATTACAGGCTTCCACCATTTCCACCGCTAACTTTAACAACAGAATTTCCCGCGCTTCCACATTATCTATCTGGCGCTCTAAGGCTTGTTTTAATCTGTCAATAAATTGCATATAAGGCTCCCGAGGTTCCTGAGTAATGGTAGTAAAAGCCTTTTGTGGCTTTTGAGAGTCAGGTATTTTAAGCAGAGCCTTCTTTGCTTCATTTCGCGTGGCGTCAAGCGCTTCCCGCGGAATATCCCTCGCCTGAGCCACCGGGTCCGTGTGCTGGCCAGTACCCGTAAAATGCTCAATAGTCAATGCAGCAAGAGCAGGATTATTATGGCCCACATAGGTTAGTAAAAGCGTTTGGAGTCCCCTCCCCCATTGCGACTCCCATAGCGAATACTGTGTGGGGGTTAACAGCAACTGTGCGAGAGATTTGAGATCATGCGGAGTCATGACATAAGTATCTAAGACAGAAGATAACAAACTCGCGAAATATGGGGAAGAGAGGCCATGCTCGGTAACAGTACGGCGCAACTCCTTCACCACAGGGAAGGATAATGCCTCCCATTGAGCCCCCCTCCCCGATAGATAA